TGAGAATCCAGGAAGGAAACACTGCCTTCAGCAATGCTATTATGGCTTTGACTATAGCTGATAAACCAGAGGGCATCCCCTACCATGGCCCACAACTGTATAAACACACAGATCTCTCTTTTGGGTCATTTTATCCTGTGTGTGGGTTGTTCATCTGTACCGTCTGCAGTTTTGTTATTTCTACCAAACCCAGCCATGCCAGCCGTTACCTTGGCAGCAGCTAACAGGGATACAAATAAATATGGCTAACACAGGGCTTATCTGCTTGGCTTACTGTAAGCCTTACTAAGAGAAACCATAATAGGCGTAGGTAGGCTGTATACATGAAACATCCTTGGGTGTTGCCAAAAAACAAATACTCATTAACCCAGATACTACCAACCTGTTTGTGCAGTGCGTGCATTGACAGATGAAGTGTGTGTTCAGTGTATGTGCATACATGCATACATAAAGTGTCCTGAATCCCATTTCAGGTAAGTGTTCAGGTGAGTATCGGGGCCTTAGCGTTTGAGCGTACAAAATGTGCTTTATTATCCAGGTTTCACTGAATACGATCTCAACACCAAACAGCCACAAGCCGTTAAGGACTAGCCGATGAGCTGAGCGTTTTACTGCAGGGTCTACCAATACTAGAAATGTGGTAGCTTGTCATCTTACTCTGAATGTTATGGTTATTATAAAAAATGCTTTTATAAGAGTTGTGTTTCCCATGATTTATGCTGATGTGCTACAGTGGGGCACTGTGTGTTTGCAGGAGAGTTGCAGAGCAAACATAGCTGGGATAGTGACAAAACAAGAGGAATGGTTCAAAATACGTTTGCCATTGTTGCCAAAGCAGTCATAAGAACTTTACATAGCTGACGGCAGGGCTTGATTGATCGCATTTTAATACCAATGAAAATTAAAATAAGGATACTTTTTTTGCACTTCTGCTAATAAGCACTGTTTTCTTGTTTTCTAAATGAAGTACATTCATTTTCTTTGCAGCAGCGCATTTTCACCTTTCCCGAAAAGTTCAAGCTCACTTGCCGTTTATGCAACTTGAGCCAACGTGATTAAAAGGAAGCCCTTAGTAAACACGAGCCATCTAAAGGAAGAAAACAGGCTTTCAGTAGGTGAGCTGATAGCATGACCACTAACTAATATGTCTGCAGCCGCTTTGGTCTGACAATCGCTTGGGATTTCTCACGCGGTCCACTTTCTGCAGTGAGCAGCAGTTGGATCACGGTGGTGCTGCTTGCCCTGTGGCTACTCTGAAAGTATGGCCAAGGCATGCAAGTTCAGTGCTGCCTGGGCTTCTTTTTGCCCACATCCACATGTGCAGACTTCCCACAGTTTAGGATGCAGGCTAAGAGCAGGTCAGCATTTCTTTGCAGGACTTGCAAGTTCTAATTATGAATCAGCTCTCTACAGGATGACCCAGTGTCCCATACAATGGCCAACACTTTATTAATTTGCCTTCCCTCTGAATTAGATTTAAAGTAATAGAGAATACCCTATGAAAACTTCAAAAACTGCCTCATCTACAGGTGTATGAATACTCAGCCCCATAATGTTTAATATTCAAGATCACAATATCGATCAAAACAATTGTAATAATTATTGCTGCCTAAGCCAACAGTCACTATAAAAACCCATCACCACAAAGTCCATCAGTAAAAGACATTTTAACCCCAGGAAGTCAGAAACCAACTTATCAAAATATTTCAAAGAGGTTTGTTTAAAGTTAAACACGTAGGATTTATTTTAGAGATAAGCAAACTTTTGACTCCTGTGGTGTTAAAGGATAATTAGGAGCAATAAAAGAAGTTTAGTACAATTTACTGTTGTACTTTATTCCTGTAGCACTATTTATATATTACAACTGTGCAGTAAGACAAAACAGCAGTTCTACATAGATGAATGAGAAGTTATGGGAGCGCCAAACAAAAAACATGCGTTTATTTCCCACATGCAGAATTTTATCTCTGTGGCTTCCGTATAGTTCTAACTCTTTCAAGGACAGCAGAGTCAGCTGCTGACATACATTAACTAAACTGATGGTTGCTGCTTTTGTCATACAAAAAATTAAATAAAGCCCTGGGCTTATATTAAGCAGGCTACCAAGTGTGTAAGACCATTACAAAAACGCTTCAGCAGTATGTACAAGTCCCCAGTTTTGAACGATATAGTTTGGTTTTCTATTTCTTAAACACGAACAAAAACGGATGCAAGCAGTTTTGACCGTTTTAAAGACGTTTGCACAATATGAGCAGTATTGCATGAGAAAACAGGTAGGTTTATAGGTAAGTTTTTCAGTCACATGACTCATTTAACCTTGAGTCAACAGTCGATCAACATAAATGCCTGAATGTCTCCAGTTATTGTTTGCACACTGCAGTGATGCATATCCTAAACTGCCTTTTCTTATGTTCACTGCTAAGGGACACTGTTACTTAACCCATCACAACGCAACTCTCTGCTCATGATTTATTTTTATATTTCTGAACGCAACTTCACATTTGCTTTCAAATTTAAAATGAAAGGAAAATTATCCACCCTATTACCAATATCTGTCAAAGCTTCATCATTGTTCGGGAAGCCAATTAATCACAGCCTGTATATCACTTATAATTATCACAAGCATTTGTACTAAAACTCTGTGTTCAGTAAGAAGAGCAAACAAACTGTACACATTTAATTACTTGTGACTTTCATTAGCTACAGAGCAGGCAGCGAGCACTCCTCTGACCCTGACTTTTACACCGTGTACTTACAGAAGAAATCAGGCCTGTTGCTGATAAACAGCTGGAATAATTGCCTTTCAATAAAACAGCAACACTAAAAGGCAACAGCCATTTTACCCCTATATCAAACCCAACTTAGGAGAACTATAAGCATACTGTACAATTAACTACTTTTGAGCTTCATATTAAATTTGGCACAAACGTTAGAGCAAAACCAGAGTCTACCAGCAGCACAAGCAAGCTAATTCCAAGTGTCACTTTCTTCCTTCTTATAAGTCACAAAAATCCCAAATCTAACAGCAAATCTAAGAGGTTACAAGCCAGTGGAGATAAAAGATCTAAGGGCTATTATACATGCAGTCAAAAACATAATAAAAGCTACACTAAGCATGACAATCTATAAAAGGGATGAAAGAGGTCCATAGACTCCACATGAAGAGAGACAACCAGACGGAGCTAAAACCGACGCTGTAGCTAGATAGCGCTTGGGTCTTTTTCACATAGGCTTAAGTAAACAGGCCATTTCTTGTTCTGAGAGGGCCTTTATAACAGCGAGCACGATCAGGCTGCATACAGTAGAAGGCAATGAGTCCGTGTTACCCTAATTAACAGAAATCACCACACTTATTTCATACAATTATTTCTGACCATCTTGTACAAAAAAATATATATATTTTTGAGTAGATACCCAATTACACCATTGCCATTTTGTTTCAGTTGAGCTTATTACACTGGGAGGTGAGGGATTTATGCAGTCTTTATACTGGAAGACAAGCATCTATGAAATTTCATGATGTCTGTGCAATACACAATAATAATCCTTTAATTAGCTCTTTTTCACCATTTTCTGTTTTCCTTCCTCCCAACCCCCATTTACTTCTGGTTACCATGAAGCATCGACTCCAGTAGATCAGAGTGACACAGGTATCAGTTTTTAGCATCCGAATATAAAGAGAGGAGGAGAAAAGAAAAAACAATTGTTGGTTCTAGTAGGGCTGCATCTCAGTATTTGATTATTATAGAAAGGCATTTTGCCATGTCCTTTTTAGAACTTGGAAATCTCATCCAAGGTTAGGAACTTGACATTTTTGGGAGCATTAAAAAGAAAAAAGGCACTCAGAATAGTTCTCTACAAGAACATTTGATTAACAAAAAATTTTTAAACTGTATAAATTACACACGATCTTTCTTACAATCTAGTCATTTTTGATACCACAAGAAAACGGTTACTTTTTAATCCGCTTATTTTTAGTGTTAGATGCTGATGCGGCGGTTTGTGAGAACACCTTTAGCATCAGGAAGTCAGGATTCAGTCACCTGTGACAAACTACACAGTCTCTCAAATATCCTCTGGCATGTCAATGAATTTGTGCGACTTACTGTGAAGTTTACTTAAACTCTATTTCAGGTTACAACGCAAGACACAAACACCAAATGGCATTCAAAGGCATAATGGCTCTGCTAATCTACCTTTAACGCACACAGACACACACCTGAATAGCATTTCCAGCTCTCTGGAGAGGACTCATTTCCCACAGCAAGCCACCTCAGCACAGGCCTTTTCTAGACTTAATTAAAATGCAGCCCTTGCTCATCACTGAAGCCACACTTCACTCCGAGGTGTGTGTGCACAGGAACAGGCAGAATCTACTCGGGGACAAAATATTCAGTAGTGGAAGCGTTCCAGTTTCTGACTGTAGTTCAAGTAATACTGGCCATTCACTTTCAAGAGTCTGTGTGAAGAGCAAGAGAGAAGCTCGCTGGCAAGATTTAATTCTCAAATAACCTCCTCCATCATTTACAACCCAGAACTGCTTACATCCACCGACCTTGGCCAGTCTCCTCCCTCTGCTGTCTTATGGGTGGTCTTCTAACAAAAAGAAAATCAGCAGGGGAGACGTTTCTCATGAATCCTTGTGGCCAAAGATGCAAGACTACGGAAGCTTTGAAGAAACACAGTAAAGATTACAGACTGCGGATTTTAATTCAGTCGCTGGTTTAAATTCCTGCGTGAGTGGCTGCTTCCAGCTATTCCACCGTTAGACTAAAAACACAACCTGAACCACACGAGTGCATTTTGCTTTGCATATCACATCACACGCAAATCCTGTGGTGATCGGAGCAATTTAGCTCGAGCAATCGTGGGTGTAGTTTTGCATGCGAAAGCTGTAAAACAACACAATCACACCAGTGGTTTTTCGAGCCAGATGGTTTGTGTGTGGTGTGGGTGCATCCCGAAGCAAAGCAGTGTGAGACAGGAACCTGCAGACTTACCCAGCAGGAGCAGCTTCAGCTCCCTTCTCGCATCTCTCTTGTCTCGTCGGAGCTGCTTCTCGATCTCAGCGTTGATTCGTTTGGACTCCTTCGCCTCCTCACTCAGGCAACAAGCCATCATGGAGTCTAAAGTCATCACCGCATGAGCGGGGGGGGGGGAAGAAAGCCCGTTTGAGGAGAGGTGTCGGGCTTACACCTCACACAAAGTACCAGATAAAAAAAAAAGAAAGAAGAAGAAGGCCTCCTGTGTGCACAACAGTCCGATCCCAACAGGTTATATCCAGACACTGATAATGGAGCTCGATAGTCTCGTTGCTTGGTGCAGACTCTGGCCTCCCTTGTTGATGGCAAAGCTGCTGTCAAGTGTTAAATATTTGACAGCTTAACGTTAGTCAAAGTCTCCAGTAAAACCTCAGGCTACAGTGACTGTGAGCTCATCAGAAAAAAAGAAACTAAACATGTCTGCAAATATCCCGAGGAACTACCGAGGGTGCGAATAACCATTTTGATTTCATGGACCGGTATTAGTTTGTTAACTAGCCTGAAAGCTAAACGCTGCTAACGTTATAACCAAGCTAACAGGTTGAATTTATCTTCAGCGCACTTTGTTTTCTTGCTTAGCCCAGTCAATTAAAATATATATAGACATATATATTTTTCTTATACTAAACTACTAACTTCGGTCCCACACACAGCGGGACACAACTGCCTGGCGCGGCCACCACATTTGTCCAATCCCTTCTGCTGGCTGCCCGGCCGAGTGCAAGCCTAGCCGCCCCGAAATCAGCGCTCCAAGTTACGCCCGCGCAGTGACAACGAGCCCCAGTCTGTCCATCCAGAAAGGTTGGTTTACTGCCTCGAGTCCTCCACGAACCGCATGCACCTGTGCCGATCAGAGAAAGTGCGCGCTCGGAGCAGGTATGTCTCGCAGGCGGAGGCACCAAGTAACCAGGATAGGGGGCTAAATGGGAAGGCTAATTGTTAGCTAGCTAGGTTAGCTCAGAGAGCCTTCCCTGGAATTGCAGCCCAAAAAACAGCCAACTCCTACTGACAGAGAATCCTGACTGCATTAACCTAGCGTTCCCCAAAATAAACTCGCAAACACCAAACCCCCCTCCCCAAAGTGCCAAAACGTCTTACTGGCAGTCAAATTGACCCTTGTCCTCCGTGCATTTTATCGCTCCTGGGTTTTTTTTTTTTTTCCTTTTCCTGGTGGTGCTGATCGCTCCTCATCACCCACTCCTCAGCTCCGGTGTGGCGCTGTCGATTTCGTCACTTGGGATATAAGTGATTGATAAGAGGAAGAGCGAATCAACACGAGGCGTGTGGGTGTTTCAGGCGGGTCTTTCCAGCACGGTTAACTTCCCAAGTTTGCTTGAGAGGAAAAAGTCATCCTCTTTGGAGGCGTGTCGGAGGAAGCGACTGACATTTGACTGGATGGGCAACGCCCATCTCCTGTCAAAGAGCAGCGCACTCACATACAGCCTGTCTGTGTTGTGCAGTCCACTACAAGAGTTTCACCAGGTCATTTCCGAGACTACTCAAACAGCGAGCTGCAGGCAGTGGAAATAAACTAAGCGGCCTTCTATTTACTTAAGTGCAGTAACTGAGTGCTGTGCAGTTTTGAGATGAGCTACTTCTCCTTGCACTTTCGTTCTAAAGCACTTTTCATTAGTACTACTACCTTCCCAATAAGATGTAATATATGCCACTCACATTCTGTATAACAACCCCCTTTCCCAGCTTGAAACTTTATAATATCTCATTTATCTGATATTGGAAGTTTAACATTTGTGTGATATTGAATGCAAGACTTGCCACTTCCTCCAGCCTATCCCTGGCATCCTCCGCTGTCACACCAACCCTCTGCATGCCCTACTTCATTAGATCCATGAATCTTCACTGTGGTCTTCATCTTTTCCTCCTGCATTACAGCTCCATACTCAGTATTATTATCTAGTATATCCACCATCTTTCCTCTGCACATTTCTCTCTAACTTTGTCTTCCCTTTCAGCCATCCTGCCATCCCTCTGTCACAAATCACCCCTGAAACTCATCTCCACCTTTGCCACCCTTCCTTCACTCTCTTCATGTCCTTTCTGCACTGTTTGTTGCTTTAAATGGTTGACACCAGGTATTAAAACTCATTTACCTTCTCTGCACGCTCACCTTTCCACCTGACTCCCTCTCATTCGCGCCCATGTATTCTGTCTTGCTTATCCTGACTTTCATTCGTCTTTTCTCCAGAGCATACCTCCACCTTTCCAGTGTCTCTTCCACCTTCTGCCTACTGTCATTACAGATCATTATTCCATTTGCAAACATCATAGTCCACAAAACTCCTGCCTGACTCCATCTTTCAACCTGTCCATCACATTGCAAACAAGACACAGTGCAGTTCCTTCTGATGTGACTCATTTCGCTCTTTCCTGCAGCACCACAGCTGTACTTTCCCAAACATCTAGTGACTCTTCCATCCCACTCACAGCTTGTCTCAACTCTTCACTGAACTCTGAATATTGTTAATTGTTCAACTTCCACCATTTAATCCTCCCCTCTCTCTGCACACGCTTCCTCTTCTTGACATCCAGAGTCATCCTGCAGATTACCATCTAAAGCTGCTGAGCTACATTCTCTCCTGCCACCCCCTTTCAGTCTCCTTGCTCTGTCAGACTGTACCTCCCTCCCCTCTCATAGATTACCCTATGCTCCTCCCCCTTCTTAAAGCGCGTGTTTACCAGCCATTTCCATCCTGTTTGCAAAATCAGCTGCATGTACTATCATGCCAACAAACAAAGGAAACAAACAAGTCATACAGGAATTATAAAACAAAGTTTCACATATACTTAAGAAAGTGACACATGTACAAGGCCAAGTTCAGCAACTTGCACGTCACATACAAATTAACAGAACAAATTGACTCTGAGTCATCGAGTACCAGCTGTGGGAATCTATTCATAATCACATATTCACTTTGCTTTTCAAACCCCTGACTCACTGTCGGTATACTTGCCTCTTAGAACGGTTATTAACGTGTTAAGTTTTGTACTTGAGTTTATGAGTGTGAGAGATTAGAAAAAATACTCAAGGTCTTACAAAAAATGGTGACAATATTTTGTCAAAATTAAAGCAAGTAAACAAAACTAATGTTATGAAAGAGTCAAATGTCAAAACACAGGTTTGTTTTCTCATTTTAAAGGGTTATATTCTAATGTTGTCTTATATGTGCTGTTACGACTGATCACAAATAAATTTCAGTTATTGCTAATAATTACAAAACATATGAAAAAGAACTATATTTGAGTGAAATGTGCAATATTTTCCTCTAAAAGTCATGAAATAGGGACAAAATCTGGGACAATGTAGCAGAAATAAGCTCATTATTTACTTTGTTGGGAGTTTCACAGGTTTGCATTTCCACAACACAACATGCCCAGTGTGTGACCGACTGTTTTAGCTGGTGTGATTTTGTCCACATCTATATGTTCCATACAGACCAACAATGGAGCAAACTTAAGTAACAGTAAGAATGCCACAACTTAAATTAAAGAGTCAGTTCATTGCAGTAAAGGTGGAGAAGTATTCACATCACATCATTAAACCAGCTCCCTGTTTGGATTCGAGACATAGACACCCTCTCTGCTTTGAAGATTACGCATAAAACGTATTTGACTAAGCTTACAGTTAGGGCTGGATCAGGTGACCCTAAACCATCCTTTAGTTATGCTGGGACAGGCTCAGGCTGCTGGGGGACTTCCCAGAGGTATGAAAGAGTGCTAGACAAATAAAACTGAGTTGAATTGATATTAAATGAATATAATAATATACTGAATATATTATAATATTACGGTTCTCCTAGTTTGTAACAAAAAAATAGATGTTAATGAAATGTGTATATATATCTATATATATGAACTTCTAGTTAAACTAACTTTAAATAATAATAGTCAATTATTTAATCTTTTAAATATACCACAGGTGTATAAGACCTTCATTCCAACTTTATCTTAAAATAGATGTCTGGGCTAATAAAGGAAAGCAACTCCAAAATTTTGTGAAATACTCATATGACGATGGGGAAAAAACAGTTATGCTTGTCTAGAATGTAGAGGTTTTGTTGTCAATTAAATCAAGTTTACTTTGATAAATGTATCCTCAGACCCAAAGGGAAACACCTTTGTTTTAGCCATTTTTGTTGTTTCTGTTTCGGGTAATACTGGGTGTGCCGGGATGAGGACACTGAAACAAAGAACAATCCTTCTTCACTGCTTAGAGTCGTCACCTGCTCAGCTGCAACAAGCAATGAGCTGACAGACAATTTTCTAGAGCCAAGTGACATCTTGTGGACATTAGATGTATTTGCAAGAGTCAACAACTTTCAAACTCATTTCACATAACGCAGCAGTATTTTTCATTTCTTCCGACTGTGGGTTCGACATGTTTAACCTCTTTAGACCTTGTTAGGTTTAATCTAACTTTGACAGAGAGAATAAATTAAGAGGCCAATGACACTGAAATCTGAGTCATAGGCATTGGGTATGACTACAGATGAGAAGCTATCCCTTAAAAATTCAATAACTATCTTTAACCTGGGTGACTAATTGCATGCTGTGTACGGCAACCTTCGTGCCGAGAAAGATGGCAAATCTGATGTTCTGATCTAAGACTAAAGAATGAAATGTGTGGGATATCAGCACACTCGGTATGCCCAGTATTAGCAGGAAAATCTTCAGACGTGACTCATGACATTACAGCCCGACCTGGCCGCCCACATCTTTAATGAGCTGTGCCTCCTGCCAAAATCCTCCACCTACTGAAATTACTACCAACCCTGTTCATTCACTATGAACTCAGTCAGATAATTACAGCCGTTCACCAATTTAGGGTCATTTTCACCAGTAATGCACTGGGTATTTTTTGTTTGTTTGTTTGTTCTTTAAAAAACACATTAAAAATTTTTCCAAGATGATCACATTATTCCACAAAGCCAAAGATACATAAGTCTGGATTCTCTTTATACACGGCATTGCTCTCTTATTGTCCCACACTTGACTGACGGAGCAGAAGAATGAGGAGAAAATAATCACCAACCAAATATTTCAATTAGAAAAGAAAGCAATTATTATTATTCCACTACACAGCTTTTCATTCTGTTATGTGGCACTTAAGTCAACTCTGAATGTTTTTTTAAATTAGGAAATTCGTAGTTATTTAATTTATTTGACATTCATTTTATTGTGAAATACTGTTTGCTGTTTCATTATCAGTTTGTGGTTGGCTATTATTGTGTATGAGGGGTAGGAGCATATAAGGACAGCACATACTTTTCATCTCAGTGTGAAAAAAAATCTTTATCTTCATTACTCTTGCAAATAGTACCTTAAAAAAATATGCCCAAATTCCCGACTTTTACTAATAACATTTAAGGTTATTTAACTTAAAATCATTGCTTCATCTCTATTGAGGGTGAATGGTCTGGTACTATAGTGCCTTTCTATTCAGCTGACTGTCTTATTACATAATCACACACACACACAC